AAAAATAATTATAAAAAATGAAATAAGGTTAACCCGTGGGTTAACCCGTAACCCGTTAGGGTCGGGTTAGGGTTAGATGTTTCCAACCCGTAACCCGTTTATGACCCAACCCGTCTAACCCGTCACCCGAGGTGACCCGACCCTAACCCGACCCAACCCGTCCGTTTGCCAAGTCTATCCTTTTGTATTAAAAAACTGATGTGTTTAGTATTTAATGATAAAAAAATAGTAATTTAATGGTAAAAAAATAATAACTTAATAGTTACATGTTACATTAATAATAAGACATGTCAACTGTTTTTTGTATAGAAAGATCAACTTAGAACAAATTGATAAACAGTAAGGATCAAATTAGGATCCGTAAAATAGTTTAAGGATTAAATTAAAAAATTTTTTAGTTTAAGGATCAAATCAGATGTCCATACAATCGTTCAGGGACCAAATTGGAAATTTAACCTTAAGTTTACGTCAGCATTTTACCCTTCTAGCTTTTTTTTTGTTTTTTTTGGGTTTGCGAACCCTGGTCCCGACTGGGTTCGTGAACCCGCTGGGTTCGTCGCGATCAAACACATGGTAAGAGTACAAGTATTAGAAGCAGTATTCCAAAAATTAAGAAAAGAACCAATACTTTCGGTGCCGAATCAATAAATATGCTTAACCAACCCAACACAACACCACTAATGGAAACAAAACAAAGAAAGCAGCAGGCACCCAGCTACCAGTCAATTAAAAAGAGCACAGACACGTAGGTGAATTCAACAGGAGAGCAGCATAACAAATTCAAAGCAATCAAGGAGGGCAGCTAAAAAAAACTCTTTGCATAAAAACAAAGAATCCTTCCTCATTGAATTTCCAACATGGGTTTTTGTTTACAGGATTGGCAGTGCAGAAACAACCGTGAGACTTGAAGATGAAGCGTAAATCCTGGATTGGTTTTCAGCCTGGAGATTGAAAATGATGGGGAAATTTGATGGTGAGTGAAATGCTGGAGTGGAAGGATGAGTGCGTTGATGATTCATTTGATTACGAAACCCAAACCAGAGGAAATTTCCAATTCCTGGATCTGAAA